AGAATATGAGAGTTGAGGAAAAAAAGAACCCTAGCTTTTGATCGCTGAATAGAATAAATAGACAAACAGATAAATAAAATTTCGAATTAATTGCTCGTCTAGTCAACGATAGCGCGAGTGGCCGGTTCTTCCGGAGAGTAATTTCAATGATTTGCGCGTCACATCGGATAACTCGATTGCGTTCGCCGGGCGTGTGCGGCGAGACGAAACTGTTCGGCGGTTGAGTCGAGAGACAAACAGATGAAGCGCTAAAAATCCTGGCCGCCGAGCTCCGTCGTGCGCGACGACGAATATGGAAATTTCAGGGTTTCGACTCTGGGTGGACTCGAAGGCCGCTAACGAGCGTACCGTGCACGCTTCCAGTAACGCCGGCATAGTATACACGTTATATACAAGTACATACGTATATAGATACATATATATATATATATGTATACGTGTATACGCGCGGCCCCGTGGCGACGGTGACTGCAATGGTGACGGCGGTAGAGGCGAACCGGAAGGGTTAATCCTATCTAGCGTAATAGTGGTGGGTCAACGACATCTTTGCGAGGAGCAAACTTACCTGGCCCAACAAGCCATACATCAAATTGCACCTCTTGACGAGCTCTCGGCTTTCACGGGACGCGACCGAGAGGGGGTTTCGCGGGTATAAAAACCGCGGGCCGGAAGCCGCGACGAAGAACAAAGCGACGGAAAATGTCGCGCGAGAGGAGCGCGACTAGTTGTCACGCGGAAAACGAACATTCGTCCTTGAACGTGCCAAGTTTTTCCGCCAAACTGTTCCGCACGCGCGCGTCTTCTCCGCCCCGTCCGGAATTACATCTGGGATATATGAGCCGTTTATCTTGAAAACGGTGGCGGAGAGACAGGCCCCTCCCTCTCCCCCTCCCCCTCCATCCCCGAAGCAAGTCGCGAGACGAAGAACTTTGAATACGGAATTCAGCCGTCGCGTCTCCGTATATCTGGGCGTTTAGAAGCTGAATGCGGCCGTGTGTTGTCAGCTCGCGATAACAATAAACGCGGTCTTCGCGCGTTAGACAGGCGAAACTCGGGGATTAAACGCCGGCAGTTAGCACTAATTGCGCGATACGCGCCATTACATCTCGCACTTCGATTCAATTTTGAAAGGCGTTATAAC